TATTTTTTTTTTATCAAGTCCACTTGTTAGATCGTATATCGAAAGTATAATAATTGTGAAAGGTATCAATCTTCAAATTAATCACAAATGTTAATTTGAAGATTGATATCTTTCACTATATTATTATCGCGCGGTGAAGCTATTTCATTATACAACCGTGCTGTCATTATCCCTTTGAAGCTATTCTCTTGAGAACAAAGCGGTACATAATGAAAAAAGAAAAAAACAGATATTCAACGAGCATCTGCTCATATCTTCTAATCTTTTATCTCTGAAAGCATGCCTATCGTCACCCACCAGTGACATATTTTCAAAGCTGGATTTCTGTAGTACGTGTGGAGCATTTGTTTCCAGAATAGCCCGTGTTACTCGCATAACGGGTGTTTTTGTCTTTCGCCGGATGATGTAACGTTGCTCATTTCATGTCTAATTAGCGCGGGGATTAGCCTCGAAATGGTTGTAAAATGTCGCGCAATGCGTGCGGCCGCCTGGTACTATTTTATTCGTTTCCGTTGCTCTTCACCATCTTTTGAAAAATATAATAATGATTATCATCGAAATCGCCGCATCACGGGAAAATTTAATTACTTTTTACCAGCTATTCTCGAGGTGAGACGAGAGGGTAAAGCTGGGCACGCTGGAAGATAATAGAAGAAAGCAAGCAGACTCGTGCGCGCCCTGAATATAAATATCCCTTTAAAGAAGAGATAGAAGGTGATCGGCGCAATATTTTGTTGCGGCTGGAAAATTCAGGTTTTCCAAGTGAAATCAGACGTAGCTGTTGTGGGATACAATATGCATACGTCCGCAAACGTGTTCGAAATAACGATCGGTTTCATCATCGCGAAAAATTATAAATGAGAACGCGTACAAAGGGATGTGCAAATTACAAAATGGTTTTATTGATCGTAAGTAATTCAGCTCTGTAATATCTTTGTGATTCAATATTTACTGTACGCACACATTATATCAAATTTGCAAACGTACGCGGTATATTTCTTCACTTACATTCACATTAATAACTGGGAATCGCTCATTTCACTGTAAATTTTCTATCGTATTTATCATGATAAAACAATAACCTTAATTGAATGGATTACGCGCGGGCATTTTACAGAATTACGGAAGATATTTCGCAAGAAGCGCTTGAAATCCACAAAAACGAGGGAGAACGGGAAAGGTTGACGCATCAATTTGTTAATAGCCATGGGAATTTCGCGTAAAAGGCAACGGGAAATTCTGTTCTATGGTCGGCCGAGCTGAATGATGTATTCGTTAGTGTTTTAGTCAAATGAAACAATGGATGCATATCTATGTGACGTTGCAAGATATTGTCATACGAAAATTATTGCTGGTAACGGGGATGCTGGCCTTTCATTTCTCTCACCCTCTTTAGAAATCTTGTTTCTCTCTCTAGCTTCACCGTGGCCCACTTCCAAATAACAAACACGTTGTGCGCGAAGCAGCGTGGATAGTAGTTGCGGCGTGTGGCGGTAACGATCGCGGGTCATTAGCAATGCTAATGCACCTTTCGACTGATGAGGCGGCGTAATGCTTCTGGTCGGCCCGTGGGCCAAGCTCTCTTACCTCTCGTACATTTCTCGAGAAGACCACTTTAAAGTCCTATACTATAGGATGGCTTGTAGGTTGGCTGCCGTAAATTGCACTGAGGAGACTATTGGCTTCCTATTAAGATCGCACTCTCCATCTATTGTGGGAAAAAACTGAAGCTCATCGGTATGCCACATCGAATCTATATTGTTTTTTCAATTAAATCCTTCGCAGAACTTATAGTGAGGTAGAATATTTATAGTGAGGATCTAGTGAGGATCTTATTTTAATAGTTCCAATATTATTACATTTTATCGTTTAACTATAAAAGATTCGGTGTTATATTTATAATATCGAGTATTATATTTTTTATACAGATGGAATAATTTACTTTCTGAAAAAAATGACTATTGTAACATTGTTAACTTTAATTAGTTTAAACTAAAATTTATGGTATCATCATATTTTTAGTTGTCTTTCTTAAATTGTAAAAATTTCAATAAGCTATTTTAATCATATAGGTGATGTTAATGATTCAAATTAATTATTGCGAGACAATAAACCGTGAATTATAATCGCAAAATTTTCCAATATTCCTAGCAAACTCATTACGTAACATTATCAATGTTCACAAAAACCTCTTTCAACGAGAGGTTTTTGATTAAATACTTTCTCTAAGTAATGCATTCTGAATGTACGTTTACGTTTCTTGGTTTAACAACGGAGTCTTACATTTCTACGCTATGAATCCTTCAAGTTCGAAGAAGGCACGTAAGGGAATTTTTACGACTCCCGGTACGCCTTTTTCTTTTATTTTTACGTTCAACTTACGGAACTTCTGGAAACGTTGATGGTGCAATTAACGGGCGGAAGTACTGCAACATGGTCAATATTGTACCTATTACACCAAAAGTCACTTTTCGAAATAATGAAATAACGAAAACGATCTTATTACAAAACCTCTGAAATAATTTATATATTTTTGAATTTTCAATTATTTTCAATAAAACGGAATTCGATAAAATTTTTATTGTTATTGTAGATATTAATAATAATAAAATACTACAATAATAAAATATATTAATATATAAAATTAACGAAATTCAGCTTATTTTATCTCAGAAATTGAATCACATTTGATTTGAATTTTATCATGAATTGAAATAAATAGAAAATACCGACCACGAATAAACGTGAAGAGAGGAGAAAACGATTATTATCGATGTGTAACCGGGCAGATAACGATAAATAGAAATTTCGATAAATCAACCGTGATTCAGAGCAAATGACTTACGCATTGTATTGTAAAACAATCCGCTCTATTTAATTGTACGTATGCATTTATGACAATCAGCACTGTTGTGGAAATTCTCAATTTCTATATCCCTTTTATCTTTATCACAATTGCGAACGGACGTCAAATAAATACCGTCTTCTTCGTGAAATTGGTTGCGAGAATACCACAGCAGTGTATATATATATAGTGACTTTATTTAAACGAAACCCTGTGTTCATCGAGCCGCATAACTACGGATTGCGATGGATTGCTAAGCAAGGTTACGGAGAGCCTTGCTGAAGCCAGGACATTGTTAACAGTATTGCTGCCTAATTAACCGCAAACGCTTTCAGTGGATTTCGCTTGGTCTATTGTTTACATGCGGGCATACCGCCTATATGTATTGCAGTCCTCCATGACTGAACCAGCTGAAATATTTCCATGGAGATTCTCTCTCCCTTTGTGACACAACCGTGTACGTAGATATATGTATTTCAATAGATTTCCGGGATGTGTGCTTGTGACAAGCTCATGTCGGAAATAACACCTGATAATAACGCATCGGTCTCTTATAAACTTCATCATCGTACTCGCGCGGAGTTTCGTTTTAAGATTTAATTAGCGAGCCGATACGCCTCACGAAATTCTTGACGAAAGATATATTTCCGGAATTTAATTTAGCGGATTCAGAGCAACTAGCTTTTAAAATTCAGGGAATTAAGGTGCTTGGCAGAATACATCTTGCGCTTCCAACAACTCCTGCGTACTCCATAGATTATGTTGTAAATTTAATAATCGAAACCACTTTCATTATTTTTTCTCCGATTTTATTATGTGAAGTAAGATTATCAATTTGTACAGAATCTTGTAGCATATTTTCTAAATCTGAATCAGTCGATAATCACTGATATTAGTGCAAAGTATGCCACTGCTAATCAGTGAATGAAATGTGAGATCTTTAATCTAGCTAATCTTTATTATATATGTGATCTAACTAACCTTGTTTTAGTGGATAAATGCAACGAGTATGGTATTGGAAGATGTGGTATTGAAATTAATGTACAAATATCAATATTTTAGTTATATAATGCTCAAATTTTTCCTTTTTTAGTTGAATTTCACTGATTATCCAATGCCAAATATACCACTGGGTAATTAGTGACTATCCATTAGATATATATTTATAAAGTATGATACGCATAAGTACGCCACATGTGGAAACAACAAAAGTCTCAAGGTGTAATTTAATCTGCAGAAATATATTTGGGAAAAAATTGATTATTTATCTATAGAATAACTACTTGCAGATTTGTTCACTTTGACTATTAATTCTACTTGAATCAATAAAATTCAAATATATATTTCTATATGTATTTATATATTATATACTCTTTCTATATATATCGAATATTCTTAATAAATTCTCTTTTTAAATCCCATCTTCATAAACACATCTCAAAATAAACTATTATATTATAGCACAAATTGAATATCGAAATTGATATGGAGTTATAACTATAGATTCTTTATTGTAATTCTTAATGCTTTATCTTTTTTTAAAATTGTACATAAATTTGTTATGATTACAATTTCTCTTCCCAGAATCTATTAACCACCAGTCTCTTCCCTACTCCCTTCTACGAGTTCCAACAGCCCTGAAAAAATTACTTCCATTTTCTTCTGTCCACAAGAAACTGTTATCACGATAAAAGCTTCGTTGCAAAATAAGTTATTCATAATCAATACCGCGTGAACCTCGACGAGGTAGCGTGCTCAGATTCAAAGATCGCCCGTAAATCAATCGCCGCGCCATTAATTTACACGCAGGCGGCGGCTGTTGATCTTGAAAAGAAACTAGGACAGAAAATTCATTAATTATGTCATCCACATAATAAATCCACGATAATCGAGATGTATACCTATGTATATACGTATAACATATATCTTCCATTTGGATATCACTTTTATTACCTTCTTTTCGATGCGTACAAGATAGTTACCACGACTAAAAAAATGCGACTAGGAAAAACATAACGAGAACGCGCACGTGCGTTTGTCACGCAAGCATATATACGTCGCGTCTGCTACGTGTGCGTTACTTCGCGTGTCTTCACGCGACGTACTTCCTTCAAGAGTTTGTAATAACTCCTGATATAATACCTCGGTTTCTCAGGCTGCGACAAGACAGGGGTGGCGGCGCTTGGTGCCCGAGAAATATGGTAACCAAGGAAGGCAAGGAATACCTGGAGGTGAATCTGCATACTCCGCGTTTACTGACGTCTACCAAAACGCAGGGCAGATTCGGCAATGGCAACGGGGTCGAGTACACCGAGGAGTACTTTGTCGAGTATTGGCGGCCAGGGTTCAACAAGTGGGTGCGATGGAGGAATCGACGTGGCATAGAGGTAGGTACCGTCTGGTTAGGTCATCGATCGAATCGCGCCCGAGATTTCTTTCTCGGATACTGTAAGCCTGAATTGACTGCACGTCTGCGGATATTAGATAATTTTCCAAATTTCTTCATCGATATTTACATACGAATATTTAAGTTCACTTAGTGAATATATACTTTTATCGGATAGCTAAAAATGAATTTGCCAATGAAATAAATATTTTATAATTTTTAATATAATATTACGCTAATTTTAAAATTTGTAAAATTAACTGTTATATTATTACATTCATACTTTACTTATGTTACTACAAATATATATATTTTGATTAATTTACATATAAAAATCTTCGAAGAGAAATTGTTCTTTCTTTTTTTCTCTTCTGCATTTTTACTTTTGCCAAATGATTACATTTTCATTTTACACAACAATATACGATATTGTAATTTATTTTGATGCACGATACTGTAAAAAAATTATCAGACTTTTCAATTGAATTTCATTTTAAGTTTGTGGTGGTATGCCAAAATTCGATTCTTTTCGACGCCTCGCATGGGTTTTATGCAGGCGTTATACGGTTGGAATTGAAGATGAAATATTGGAAAATCCAACAACGAAATTTATTTTCTGCCAATAAATCTCGTCATTTCGTGTCACATTGTAAAGACGGATTGCTCGATATGGCATTCAATGCAGCTTGCGCTGTGCTAATCTTACGTATATATCATTGTACTAATCTCCATTTGCCATCACGAATACATGTGACGCTCTTTTAGTTATAATGGAATATCTATCGACTCACTTATAATTACTACGTAGCTAAATATTAATGTCCCTATTTCAGTTTATATATGTATATATCTTTATATGTGTACATATATATATATATATATATATATTACATATGTCGAGGGGAAATTAGGAAACTCCATACGAAACGACTCGATTTCCTGGATTTAACTCAAATTCCCCCTTCTGGCTTATTCAGCATAGTAAGTTACGAATTGATACAGCTACTACCATCTGATTTTAATCCGATGGATACACGCGAAAAACATAAATGATTCCTATAGTTATCACGTACTATAATTATTTCACCATACTTTTATAAATTTTGATTATAGAATAATGTCACACACATAAAATGATTTTCTTGAATATGTCTTGAATATCGACTTTAGAGTTCTATTAATGCCCGAATTAAATAAAAGCAAATTTGAAATTCTATTTTAACAAGTAGAAAGATGATCGTATATCTAATCTAACAGACTCTCAAAGTACTCTACATGGAAAGAGCGATTGTGCTGAAGTATCTAAAGATTTAGCTAGATATCGATCTGAAAATAATTTTAGTGGATGAAAATAATTATGTAGGACATTTGTTGAATTAAAATAATTACATAAGAAATTCAAACTGGTTACTAAAACGTTAAAACTTTTTATAACACTGCTCGTCATACTTGAGATTTCTACAAAATTATTTTGATTTAGATACTTCAACAAAATTGTTCTTTCCGTGTACAATTTTATTTAAGTATTTAAATCAAAATAATTTTGTAGAAATCTCAAGTATGATGAGCAGTGCTGTAAAAAGTTTTGACGTTCTAGCAACCAGTTTGAATTTCTTATATAATTATTTTAATCATCTTGGATATTCATTACAACCTTTTATGGAGAGAACTGCCTTTATGTATTCTTAGTGTTATGTTTTATATTACATGTATTAACCTAAGTAAAGATAATAATCAATTGATTGACAAATCTCAAATAATTAAAAAATCAATATGTCAGTTATTTTATTAATATAATAATAAAAAAAAATATAAAAATTTTATACATAAGACATATCTTAATTATTTTATTCTCATAACATTTGCATTATGTACCTGTAGATCATCATATTTAATTATCTCTATCAAACGTACTGTATTTGCGAAGATATAAGATTTATTTCATCGATAGCCACAGTATTGGTGTTAATTTCCGTTCTCCTTTTATCTCTTCAAAACGCTGTACACGATACGGGCATTGCATATATGAGAACCTCTGTACCGGTTGAACGGCCATTACTGGATGCGACGTGTTAATTAACGTCTCTTTAGCATGATAATCCGTACGCGATATCCATTAGCCTGTCAAAATACATCACGGCGGTTAAGCGATTTGCTTGTGGCGACGAAACTACGCAGATTCTGTGAACGTAATCTTAAATTGATATTAGATAAGTACGTTTCGCATGAACGATTTTCGCATTCCATAAAAAACATATATTTCTCACCAAAATTATTGAAGTAGTGTAGAAATAGATAATTAAGAAATATAAAATGCAGTATGTTACAATCTTCATTGTGCTCTATGATATAAAAAAAGCGTAGAAAAATACACAAGAAGAAGTACCGATGAGACAATATTGTGATAGTCACACGAATTTATGTAGCAAAACTTGCCAAATGGAAACAATTGTATAATATAATAGTTGTAATATAGATTCTTGTATCTCTAAGAATTTTAATAAAATGAATTGTCACAAAGGCAGAAGAAATTTCATATTAAATCGATCAAACAGCATAATTGAAGACGGTAAATCGGTAGTTAAAGCTATTCTATTGGACATCGAGTGCTGCTGCAGCTATTATCCTACGAACTATAAGCTGCCATTGGTAAATGGAATTTTAATGGATGTACAATAAAGCGAGTGCATTTATTCCGCTTACCGAAACGGCGCGGTAAGTCATAATCAATTGTAACGAGCGCGATTCATTTTTCAAATACTACCGATAGATGCGCGTTCTCCATTGTCCTGGTTTCTTCACGTGCTCGCTATTACATTTTTATTCCATACTGATGAAAGTACACACGTACAAACGTATATTTATATTAATATATAATAACGCGAGCTGAATGAATTTTACGATCAAGCGAGAAAACGCATTAACTTATTTGCATTTCCTGTCTTCAGTAAAATCTACTGTTGGCTCTTTCTTCCATTTCTAGTAAAATCCAAATCTCATTTCTAATTATGTTGATTCTTCCATGATTTTATGATTTTTTATAAACGTCGTTTATTTGCTTTTGCAGTAATCATCTTAAATTCTCGCGCGCGGACGCTTCATCGTCCAACACTCTATCTTTCCGTGAACATTATTCAATGCCCGCATTATGATATTACCACGTATAAGTGTTAAAATTCACTCGCTCACGCGAATTTATCGCGCCCCGTCGCAAATTGCCGGTCGTAATAGAAAAAAGATTACCTGAAGCGCCAGGATTTTTCAGTATTTACCTCGGCATCCGCAATATATTTCCTTCAAGAACTAATTTCGTCCGAGAAAGAGAAGCAACGGCTACGGGAGACTTATTACCTAGCTGCCTTACAGTCTCTCGATAAATAGAAAATCAAGAATCTCATCGGTAACGAACTTACTTCGATAGACTATCATAACTCACCTCCGGCTGGTACTCGTCAGAGGGTCGTCGTCTGGCCTCGCAGGAAAAGCTCCGTGACGCGGAAGTAATTTTCAACTCCAAACCGTGTCCTATCGTGGATGGCGAAGCCTCGTTATTCGACCTCGCCGTCATCAGAAGGACTCTGATATTCGCGTCATGGTTATCTCTCATTAATCTCTCTCTCTTTCTCTCTCTCTTTCTCTCTCCCTCTGTCTTTCTCACCCAGACTCTCACTTGTCCACATCGTATGCACGCGTGCACGTACAACACACGTTCAATGTACGTACTTTTCGCCCTCCTTCCAGCGTGGCTCGTACTAGACGTTCTTCTCATTTTCACGCAGATTCGCTCAAAGCGAGAGAGCAAGCCGGAGATCCAAAGGCGGAGGAGAGACAAAACACCCAGAAGCAATAGAGGGAACAAGAACGTTTACCCTGCAGCCTCAATCTGGGCGGCATGTGATCTTTGTGCATGCGCGTCTTCCTTTTGCTCTTTACACTTTGAATACGGGCGGGGAAAACGAACAGTCGAGACTTGAATGAGGAAACGAAAGGGGATGAGCGTGAACGCGTGATGGGAAGAAAAAGAAAGACAGAAAATGGGAAGAGCGACTACGCTATCGCGCTATTGTACGTGACCCGAGCTCTCCGCAGGCGTTTTTCTACAGCAGCATAGTCGTCGTTCCTACGTCTCAGACAAAACACGTAACGCGAAAGAGGGTTTTCTGGTATCCGATGACGCATTTGCTCGTTTTATTAGTGAAGCTCAAGTAGAACTAATGCAGAAATGTATGTGACAATTAGAAAACCATGAAAGTGTGTTGTACGCTCTAATAAACAAAAAGCGAATAACAGTGTATCACGTAATGGTACGCGCATCTGATATTGTCTAATTATCGTATAATCTTTATAAAAATTTAAAGACCAAAACTGTATGATTTGTGTCTGCAGATATAATCTGCAACAATTATTCGTACTTGTACGATTGCGCGAACGTAGGACAATAAACACGATGAATATTACAGAAAGTCTGAAATATAGAAACATGATATATTTTTACATTCGCCAAACTGACGCGTGCAACGAACCAGTTACATTTTTACACCGAAAAAAGCGGGCGACGGTCACCGGCTGCGACGTTACTCCAATAACGGAACAAAAATAAAGAGCGCGTGTGTGCGAGAGGGAGATTATGACTCGCTTCTTATGAGGTGCACGCGAATTAAGCCGGACAGGCCGGGCTCATCTAAATTCACGAAACGCTGGAGAGTAGCCGGACCTCGGGCTGCTAGATGCAACCTGATGGAAACGGAGCGAAATACAGCATCCAGCCAGCTAGCGCCTCTCCCTTTTACGTTCGGACGGCCGCTGTCGTGCCTGCGGCGGGACAATTGCCAACGGTGGACGTGTTTCATTAACGCCGACACACCGGCACGGACGAGGCTTTGTGAGAGAGGTACACCCACGGTAACTCGTATACGTCTTCCCTGTAATACGAGCAGTCCTCGCTGCGGCTCTTGAACATACCTACCTGTCGCGAGAGAGCTAAATGAATTTGTTTATTCT